CTGACCTCTGAGTAGGGCTTCGCCTGTCCTGTCCCAGAAAGAAAGGCTGGTCTTTGAACACTAGATTTGTATTGGAATTTCTCACCCAGAGACACCATCTAGTTGTCACCTTCACACCTGACAATCAAAGGACGTATCCGAGCAATCAGAGGGAAAGTGAGGGCAAGGGAACTAGAGCGGTATGGAGCTCCCTGCTCAGACAACTTCCCTCAATCCCCAGGATCTTCTTTTCCAACACAAGACTCAAGGGAAGCCAGGGACCAAGGCAGTAAGAAAGCAAGAAGGAGCAGTCAGTCCCAGGGCAGAGCTCAGGAAACCCAGTATCCTGAAAAGGCAGCCTAGAGGTTCCCCAGCAGCTTAGGGAGACCTGGGGGCCTCCAAGGTCCACGACCAGAAATGGACGGATAAGGCAATGAATGGGAATACCCAGAAACAGTTCATGAAAAAGTAAAAGAAACTCACCTGGTCTGTAGAGCCAACCAGGAACGGGTCTGGGTTAGACAAGTTAGACCTGCATTAACTAGCCTTAATCAAGCAAGATTCCCACTCCTGGATCCTGCCTTTCAACTCAGTACCAGAGATGTTGAGCCTCCAAGCAGCAACACCAGGGAGAGTCCAAGGAGAAGGAAGGGCCTTTCTCCTCTTATGTGCAGATTTTATTATAATTTGTGAACTAGGAAAATAATGTTTTGCCATCTAGAAATGTGTTCCTAACAACCACTGCATCTTGATAAGGAGTTATTTTCAGGTCAAGCAGAAGACAACGACAAGTGACACATGACTGAGCCACATGAAATGGCCAGTATTGGCCTTTGATCTCCAATCATCTGTACATTCACACTGTTCTCCACCAAAGGGAACAATCTTGCATGGTGGAGCTATCTGTGTTGAACTTGGGGCTCTGGCACCACACACTGAAGAGACAGGGTCTTGTTATGTTGTCCCAGACTGATACCACATCTGGGACTCAAGCAACTGTTCTGCTTCGGTCTCCTGAGTAGTTAGATTGCCAAGAATGCATCACTGAACCTAGCAAAGATGGTAGCCTTTAAAGTTAGAAGGGTTTTAAATAAGAAAAGTGAGTATCACCTCCCACCTCACAGGAGGGCTCCTGAGGGCCAGATATTGGCAAATTTGCAACTTGAAAATGGACACCTTAAGCTGCCAGGTTCTTGCCACTGTAACTCCCTGAGGGCCACTCTTGCCTCTGCCCCTGAATCCAGTCTGCACAAGCCCTTAGAGAAAGTCCAGTGCTACACCAACAAGTAGGACCTGCCTCTCTTCCCAAGCCTTCTGGAGGCAATGAGATATGTGCTGCTGACCCGTCAGATTGTGCCATTCCTCACACACCAACCCAAAGGCACATGATCAAATAAACATGTAATCAGAAAAGGGTTCTGCATCTATGGTAGGGACCACTGAACAGATGGACACTTATAGCCTGAGGTGTCTACACACAGCCACTCAGCCTCAGGGCCCACTGTTCTTTGTTAAAAGTAAGCTTGATATTGGTAGATCTTTGCCTAGCATGTGGGAAGCCATGGGTGTGGGTGGGTGGCCCTTCTGCTGGGGCAAGAAATGTCTACAACATGAAGGCAAAAACATGAAGTAAGGGTTTGAGTCTATACAGCCTGCAATATCTTGTGTCCCTGAGCAACAAACACCCTGAGGGCAAAGGGGCTTTGTGAGGGGCATCATACATTGGCAATGATGTCCCATGGACTAGTAGCCCCTTTCTCAAAGATTCTTCCAGAATTGGTCTGATTTCAGACTCTTATAAAATCTGACCCTAGGGATGATCCTCAGAAAGCAGGGACAGCAAACTACCACTCAGACGCTGTCACCAAGCTCCCATTTCCTCAACAAAACACAAAAGGTAAGGACACCCAGCTGGCCAGGGTAAGTGGGGAAGAGAATTAGAAAATAAATGATGCTGTTGTAACCTGGGCTACATAATGTGGTAGAAAAGCATATGCCTGGCTTGAGTGCCCATTAGTTATGTTAGGCCAACCCCAAACCACTCCTCTTCCAGAAGACAAAGGATAAAACTAAGGCAAGATGCCCTGAAGCAAAGGTGTTGAGAACCACACTGTCGGCTTCAGCACATTCATCCTGCAAGGGAAGAAGCTGCCCCTGGAGCTGGCAGGGAGCCACAGTGTTCCACTGACCTCGAAAGGGAAGTATATGATGAAGGTTTTTACAAGGAAACCTGAGAGGGGTCAAAACACAGGACCGAAGTCACAAAAGAAAAGCAGAACAGAGGACTAGGACCAACTTGTGCTGCCTCAGAGCTTAGTAGCCAGGCTCAATCACCCAAACAGCATCTGTCTGTCTGCCTGTCTGCCTGCCTGTCTTTGAGACAAGTGTATGGAAAGTGAAGGAAAATGATGTCATTCTGTAAAGGTCAGAAGGAAAAGCTAGCCCTATTCTGAGTTGTCCAAATGTATGCTACTGTTTGACGCCTATCAAATCACAGGGATATTAGAGAACACCAAGTTAAGGGCATCCACCACAGCTTCTAGAAATAGCTGTAAGGATGATGGAGACATTTACTCAGTTCCTAGCTGTGGGGATTCCGAAAGGATAAGTGCTAGGAACTCAAGTCCTGAGGAGACACAGCAAAGAACAGTCCCCGATCCTGTTAGCGGCTCCAAGATAACGAATACCCGCACTAAACAGAAGGCTAGTCTTTGAGGAAAGGGTAGTGAAAGAAAAGGGAGAAGCTGGCTACTGTCACTCAGCTGGGTTTATTCACAGCTACCAGGCCTGTTTCTAACCATGATCACACATGGAAGGAACCTAAGTCACACAAACTGTGACTTCCTTAACATTTATCCCAACTCCAGGCTCCCACAGAAGTGTGGCAGTGGCCTAGCACCACACAGGTTTGGAGGAGCAGAACAGGAAATCCCCCCATTTCAATGCATGCTCACAGCCCCGCTTTCTCTTATCTCAGGTACAATAATTTCTTTAGCAAGGCCTTCCTCCCTCTGAAAGCTGAGTGGACAAAAGAGAGAGATTACGCCTGCCACTCAATGGCAGGTAGTTGTCACATGGTGTACTCTACATCTGTAATACTACATCTTCCCAGAAAGATGGCCACAATCAAACACAGACAGGAAAAGTTCCTGCCTAGAGCTGGAGCCAGCAGCAGCCTAGCCCAAAGCCTTAGTGCAGCTGAGGTGTGCAGATGTGTCTGTGGCTTAGAAACGGGGAGAGGGGCACACAACAGACTATCTACTCCCCAAGAATGAAACATCATCACTAGGTTGGTTGGGACTACCGAGAGGGCTCACAAGCTCTTGTCTCTGATCTGAAGGGTCAGAGTACGGGGACAAAAGTAATCACTTCTATTCTCATTTCACAGGACCAAAAGGAAAGATGAGTTACTACAGCAAAACCCTGGCTGGCACCACCAGCTCCACTTCCATGTGCGAGTCTAGGGGGCGGCAGAGTCAAGCCAAAGGGCAAATGGGCTCATAAAGAACTTGTGGAAACCAACATCATTTCTTACGTGCATCCCAGGGCAGGGTTTCTATCAGTGTCAGAGAGATCTGTCACCTGTACCATGTGGGTCACTCTAACCCCTCTGGGCATCCAGGCAGCAAATACAGGGAACATGCAGACTGACTTCAACACCACTGGAGACTGACTGTTACTGTCACATAAAGGCCATGGTGCACATACAATACAGGGGCTCAGAGGAAGTGGACAGTGAAGAAAGTATGTGAGGAAGCTTTAGATGAAGCTCAGTATTCAAGTTCAAGAAACAAAAATTAAACAAGGCAGCACTAGCCTCTCTGGTCACGGGGTCCAGCTCACAGTGCAGGGCCCAGCACAAGGGCTGTCTGTGCACTGAGACAGAGGTGGCCTCGGTCAGTCCCCACCAATGGACACTAAGCACCTGAAGAACTGTATCACACTACTGCCTCCATAGACCCAAAGGCTATTACTGAGGGTTCCATTTACCGAAAGGGCATCACAGGATGCACAAGTCCAATGAAGAAATCCCCACAGTTCCACACCCTAAGGTCCAGCATCCACCCCCATATGTTACCCTGACACACTTTGGGTGTGTCTGTGAATCACATATGAGCTAAAGGCCACTGATTCCAGGAACTAGAGGAAAGAACAAGAGTTCCCAACCAGACAGGTACATGTAGGTGCTGTGTCTGATCTCAGACCTGGCATCAGTGAGTACGTCTCCCAAACAGCTATTCCTGAGATGAATATGCTTAGACTCAAACCTGTGTAGCCATGGCCTGAACCCAAGGGGGTAGGATGGAGCTATTTAACAGGTATTGATTTCCGCCTTTGTTTCTAAAACCCAAACCCAACCCAAACCAAAGAGTGTCTCTAGCACCCTTTCTATCCAGCCTGACTGTTTCCCCACTGCCTCCTCTCTCCTCCCTCCCTGTACTCTCAGTTCTCACTGAGATTTACACAGGTAGGCAGTACCAGGTCTGTCAAGCCCTCTGGCCCTCATAAGGCCAACCTGTCCCCAACAGCTTGCACAAGAAGACTTAGGACACAAGACATTCATTGCATACCACAGGAGACACCAAGTCACAGGAAGAGCGGAAAACACACCAAATCAATCACAGAACATCAGTACTGGTGCATGGACATTGGAACTCAGGGTTGGCAAAGGGATTCCAGGACAGCTCTGGCTGAGGAGAAGAGGCAGTGGATAGATTTGGCTGAATGACTCTTCAGTGTCACCCTAAATGTGAGGAAGACCAGAGAGTGGGGATAAGCCCTCCCTCTCCTACACAGCCAGAGCTGACACAACCCCTCCAGTGAACATGGAAAAAAGATCCTGCAGGGCAGGAGACCCTCTGAAGTGGCTGGCCCTGCTTCCATCCCTTCCATCTTCAAAGTGCATTCTCAGTGCAAGGAGGAGGTCTGGATCCCAGGGGGTCTAACTGAGACAGGGCTGTGCCAGCCAGCTCCCTCCATCTCCTCCGGCTTCCCCCTTGCCCACCCTGACCCTTTTTACACTAAGACCAGAACTCCTGCTGGATCTCAAAAGGGGAAGGCCCATGTGCATTCAGTTCGGCTCTGCACAGAGGCACAGTGCTATCCTGGCTCTGCCCCTCTGCATCCAGATCCAGAAGCGTCCGCTCAGCAGGGGGCAATGGCCCTGCCTGTACAGGGAGCAGGGCTGGCAGTCCAGGCCGCTCTTCTACAGTGCTGCTGCTGCTGGCGAAGCAGGAGTCCAGATTGCTGGGAGTCTCTGTGCTGGAGCTGTTGGCTGGGGAGGCGCTGCGGGCATGGCTGGGGGACACAAACCACCAAGGGTCCAGCCGCTGCCGGTTGGCAGAAGGACGTGGCCGAGGCAGAAACTCCAGGGTCTTGGGTCTCTCTAAAGTGGAGTCCCGTTGTGTGTTCCAGCGCCTTGGAGTTGGGGGAAAGACCACGTTGGGGTCAGGGAGACGGGGGAATTCACCTGGGTCTCGGCTGGGACTGGGAGTTTTCAACATTCCTGGTCAGAGAGACAATGGGAAAGACATCAGATGGTGGCATCATATTTCCAGGTGAGATATGCATCTTCCCCATGCTGTCATATGCCTAGACACTGGGACAAAGGAATTAAATGTTTAAAGAACACCTACTGTGTGTCATGCAGTGTGCTGTGAGGTGCTAGGAACATGGCAGTGAACTAGAAACCAAGTGGCCTTGGGTCAAGTAATAGTAACATATTGGCGGGGGAGGGGAGGTCACATGTATAATGAACTAATTTAAGGCAGATGTTGGGAAAGGACTCTTAAGATGGTCACTTACATTTGTAAATAAAGTTTTATTGGGACATATTTTATATACACTCAGTAGCTGCTTTCCATTTACAGGTGAGTAGTTAAAAAAATAGACAAGATTATACAACCCATAAAACCCAATATATTTACCATCTGGTCCTTTCCCAAATAGTTTGGGGGCCCCTAATTTAAGGGAATGCCTGTCATTCCATGTTTATCTATGTAATAATCATACAATAGGAAAAGAGCTATGTAGCAAAAATGTAAAGATAATTCACGCTGTCTTTACTCCCAAAGAGATTATACACCTGAGTATAACAAACAAACCTGCAGGGGAGGAGTCAAACAAATGATGGCATACAATTGTCATGTACACACTTAAAATTCCACCAAAAGGGCGTGGCCACCTTAGCTTTTCTCACTGGACTAGGGGATGTTTCTTAGCCAGACTCAGGTCTTTTAAGGAGCAAGGAATGGGGGCAGCAAAGTGTTAGGTTGAAAGTACGAATTCATAGGACTATCTGGGGCCAGACGGAAGGCAAGCTCATGCACGTGGTCAGCCACTCATTGAGCATGTCTCTAGGTCTGAAGGGACAGGTGTGACTCAAGCATTAGTGATGGAGAACATGATAGATGAGTGGCAGGTGACCTTGCGCGTGTGTCTGAACTAATGCTATAATGGCAGGGGCGCAAGTATGTGGAAGAAAACACCCTTCCTAGGTGGGCTGAAGATTCGTTTCTTGCAGCTGCAGACTCTTCAGAGAACAAGAGCTTGCCTGCTGCCCCTGGATGCTCTACCCACTCCCCTGCACCGGAGCAGAGTCTCAGCATGCCATCGGGCCCATGTCTGGCATGTCTGGCTCTTCCTACAACCAGCCTGTCTCCTTTCAAAATCAGAACATGGTACAGGACAGAGAGAAGTCAGCCAGCTCTGGACACCCTGCCAATGCCAGATCATATCTCTTGCATGGTTGAGCAAGAGAAGAAACTCAAATTTCCTTGGGCTTATGCAAATCAAGAAGTAGAAAGAGGAAAGGAGCCACCTACAAACATCCTTACTCCCTGGGGGCCACAAAAGAAGCAAAGAAAAAAGAGAATGTGGCCAGAACTCACCTGTCCCAGGACTGGGGCTCATCCCATTGCTGGAGGGGCTCCGGCTTGCTACTGCTGGAGGGGCCCCTGTGGGCTTAAGTGCTCCATCAGAAGGAGTCCGCCTGTGGCCACTCGGCTGCGTGGGGGCTGTGAGGGTGACATGGGTGGGAGTCAGGGACTGATTGGGGTCTCGCTTGAAGCGCTCCACTCGGACATTAACCAGAGGGTTGTGGGTGAGGGGTGGAGCTTCAACTGGACTGACTGGCATTTCATACACTACGATCTCATCACTGTCAGAGCGCAGCAGCGAGCGGGTAGAGTTGCATTCGGAGATGGAGGAGAGAGAGAGCAGTGTCAGGGAGGCAGAGGGGTCTCCTAGCAACATCATCGGCTCTTCCTTCTTGAAGAGCTTTCGGGAGGGGGGGCTGGTACTCCGACGAGGGCGGCTGGCCCTCTGGAAAAGACCCTCACGCCTCTTCTTCTCTTCCCGGGCTGGTGGCTCAGGCTCCTCTGGCGGAAGCAACTGGCACTTGCCAGCTTCCAGCAAGTCAAACCCTAGACCTGTGGCTGCCAGGACAGCTCCACAGCCAAGCAGAGCCACTTCGCAGCGCCGGTGATGGGTCCCACTGCGCTTGAGGCTGTTGGTTGGCGTCAGCTGAGGGGTACTAGTGGCTGAGTTGACTGGGGTGGGCTCCTCATGAACTCCATCACTGGAGGGGCCATCCCCATCCTCCCCACGAGGAAATGGGATACAGAGGTAGGACTGGTTGGGTGAATGCTGTAGATGACTCTCTCCACTTCCTGGGCCTTCATCTTCATCCTCTGTGAAAACAAGGCAGAGAAATACAGAATGAAGAGTCTGGTCCTTTTCCCAGACCTGGCTTCCCTGATCGTGTCAGAGATAGAGGACACGAAACCGGGCATGGAGCCAGTAGGGCCTGTTTTCTGCCATACGCAACTGAGACCAGCATGGGAAACTCATCTGCATTCCAGAGCCCATTTCTCTACTTGCAGAAAGGGGGATCTGCTAATTTGCTGCTTCCTTCATGGGGACTCCTTTGAGTGTGTAATGCCAGAGACATCCTCACACACACTAGGCAAGAACACTATACCTTTACCCCATAGGTGCTCTTACAAGAACATGCAGTGTGCATTCTTAGAACACTAGATAAAAGAAGCATTTCTAATATTTTTGAACCTTAAAACTGGAAGGGCTTTGGGCTCCTAGCACAACGCTTCTTAGCACCATGTCTGAAGGTGGGTCTGCACAAGAAATTAGAATCCTCTACATGGGTGAAGGACAATCTGTTCCACTGATGGGCCCATTACGACTCAGAAATCTACAGAGAAAAAGAATACTGGTGGCTTCTAGAGAACTCAGCCACCATTCACAGCCAGAGAGCAACACCAGAAAGGCTTGGGAAGGGGAAATGTCTGGTTCAAGTCTTCATCCTTGCTCACTGCCCTGGGGTGATGATTGCTGGATTCTTGGGGCAGGAAGCCAAAGATAGGTTCCATGGCTATAATACAAAGAAACTGTGGTTTTGGAAGACCTAATCAAATGGAAGGGACAGAGTATGGGATCAGAGGTCAGGAACAAAAACAAGACAAACCCTACTAGGAATCTTTAAACAATCCTGGAAGTTCAGCCAAGAATTCTCTAAGGAAACAGTAAGAAAACCAAGACAAAAGCTATACTTACCTATCTCCATAAGGCTGGTAAACCCAGGCAGGGCGGGACTACTCCTCGGGCCCTTCCCCAGGTTGGGGGCACTGGATGACCACTGTTTGTATCCATCTACCAGGGACTTGAGGCTGAAGGAATGAGGAGGAGACTTGTCAGCATTGGCTACTTCTCTCTAGCCTCCATGGGCATTTAGAAAACATCTGTCTACTTAATCACACTGAAAAGCACTGAGGACCAGACAACTTGTCCCGAGTCCACCTACTTCACAAACAAGTGCACATGCTCTAGGAGATGAAAAGCAGTGGTGTAACCCAGCCCCTCACATGCCGTGGAGCCATGGACAGATCAAGTGAGCAGGCGGGCAAGCAGACAGAGTAGGGACTCAGCTTGTGGGAGGCCTTGTCTGAGCCATTCTTAAGGGAAAGGCAATCAACCCACAGGATCTGGACACAATACACTCGTAACATTACAAGTATTCCAATGCGAACGCCTGCAGTGCAAGGCAAGCATGGGGCAGATGAACCAGCAGAAATGGCCCCGGGCCGCTCCACTCATAACGTTTCTCAGGTTCTCCTTCCACGTTTCTATCTCACATGCTTAAGCTTCCAAAGCCATTCACTCTTCAAAAGGGAAAAACAAAACAAAATCAAGCAACAAAGCTGTACCAACCCAGTGCTCTTGGGACAGGCCTATATGAGGAAGACACTATGTGGTATTCAAGCCCTCCATGAAGACAAAGGACAGCAGCTTGATTTCAAACCTTGCCATCAGTTCATTGGGCAATCCAGACAGAATGGATCCCCCATCAGCTAGCTCCCTTACAAAGGGGGATCTCAGGTCTGGAAGCACTGGTCTTTGCCCTAGCGGGCAATAAAAGGGGGCATTGACGAATCTACATGCTATGGTGGTACTGAAAGCCTAGTATATCAATCAGAGGGGAATCTATCTGTCCGCCTAGAGCCTGTTCTCTCAGAGTCCCAAGCCACCAGAGGGAGGGAGAAGGCTCAATTTTCTTCCTAGCCTCAGAACTCTTGTTTTAACTTCTGTCAGAATACTGGTGAATTAAGGCACATCCCAGACTCTGCTGGTTTCAAATAGAACTCAGAGCTGGGGAGAAGCAAGCTGCTAAACCCATAAACTGGACTCCTGACTGCAACATTGTAACAAAACCTCTAGTAGGAGGGGCTCAAGGAAGCCCAGATTAGCAAATAAAAGCCAGTGCACAAGAATACATAGCCAAGTGGCCTTCTCTAGAAACGTATGGAAGGAAGGAGCATCCCAGCAACTGGGGTGGGTCAACAGACAGATTTTCCTAAGGTGCACAAAGGTACTGCTCTTAAAAACATAGACAGCTCATCCTTTGCAGCAATGAGGAATGAAAACAAGGAAGGAAATGGAAGGGCAGTTGCTACCAACACAGCTTGTGGATGGGTGGAGACCAGACTCACCCCAAGTGGAAATGTGGAGACTCTGACGGGGTGCTTAAGCCATTAGATTTCTCCCGTCTCTGAGGGGATCTTCAATGAATAACGAGAATCAGCAACAGGCAGCAGAGACCACCGTCAGCTCACCCTCTCCCACACTCAGACTGCCCAGGCTGGACAAGACTGACATATAAAGCTGTTTCAGGCCTAGGCCCTTCCAATGTAAGAGACAAAAGTGCCAGGATAGCCAGAGGGCAACTGTAAGGGGCTATGAATCAAAAACTACACAAGCTGCCTACAGTGAACTATTGTTTCCTACAGATATGTACTTTCGGATAAAGAGGGGAGATGGGAATTGACTTTACTGAATTCAAGGTTTTTGTCATCATAAATTTTCTTCAGTCAATTTTCTTCCATGATAATAAACTAGAAATACTATCATGGAAAGATCTCTTACATTTCTGATACCAAAGAGATCTGGCCTCAAATTTGTTAGAATACACGTTCATTTCTTCAATAAGAACTGAAAATGATGAAAAATAAAGGCACATGCTTCATAATTGTCTCAAAAGTTTGCAAGGACAAATCTATGTAAGGAGAAAGGGAAGTGCAAAGTCAGCACTGTGTAGTGTAAAAACAAGTAATTTACTATTAAAACCAAAACAACAACAACAACAAAAAACACCAAAACAAAACAAAAAGACTTTGTGAAGCTGAACCAGAAAAATCACTAGAATCCTATCTGAGGAGAGGAAGGGACCCAAGAAAGGGCCAAGGGGGGGTGGGGAAGGTGGTGAGGGACGAAGAAAAACTCTAATGATCTATATGTATGAAAATACTACAGTGAGACCCATTACTCTGTATGTTCACTGAAAAATTAGTTGGAAAAATTTAATTACCAGAATTCATAGCTAGTCTGGTTAACCTCAGAATTAGACTAATGTCAGAAACAGCGAATGATTCAGGCTAACTGAGTTTCTTTGAGCCAGGCCACAGAGGACAGACTGCAAGTTCTCACCCTCCTCCTGAGTTCTGTAGATTTGCTGACCTGATTCACACACAGCACAGGCTTGTCCCACAAGTGTACATTTTCTATTCAAAGGAACTTTGTGGTTTCAAAGCCTCACTTGACAGAGTTTGTTCTTTATAAATCAAATTGCTAATTTTTTTCCCCTTGAGCTCAGACACAGGAAGAGTTAGAATGTGAAATGTTAGTATTCAAAAGATTACCAAAGCCAGTTTGACAGGTTTGGAGGTCCCATTCGGTGACTAATGGGAAGTCACTGAAAACTAATAGGACTACTAGCCTCACACTTAGAATAGCCAGGGGTATCCTAGAAGAAATACAAACCATGATGTCCACACCTGGGGTAATAAAGTAGATGGCATGAAAGGCAGGGACCCATCATCGCAGCTGGTAACTATGTGTGTCACACAAGCCAGCTAACAGATGCACTATAGAACCCTGACATCCACTCCACAAGCTGGGGACTAGTCTTGTGCCCATTCTGTAGTGAGAAATCATGAGCTCCCACAGTTAGATGCTGAGCTGAGTCTCATGGCCAGAAGTCTCCCTGGCTTGTGAAAAACTGACATGGAGAATTTGCCTCCCGGGCCTCGAGCCTGCAAGTGAGGACACAGCACATTTAAGGCACCAAGACCTTTGCCTGGAAGCAGTGAAGTATGAAAGAAGGCCAGCGGCCCCACAGCATATTCTAGTGTACTATCAGGTAGGGTGGAGTGACGATACCTGTCTCTGTCTAACAGGTTAACAGGAGAAAGCCCTGCTCACCCTGATTCTCCTCCCTTTCTTCTGAACAGATGCTTTATAGGGAAAATCCAGGTGTAAGTAGACCATTTAGCCCAACTTCCTACATGTCCTTCCTATCTGGGCTATTTGCTACTTTGAAAGAACACCTGCAGGGGGCAGCAGACCAGCAGACTAAATCCAACAATCCTGCCTGTCCCTTATCTTCGGAAGTAAGTTTTGACTGGAAGATACCACATGGACTCATTCATTAATGTATTACTCAAAGTCTAGGCAGCTTTTATACGTCTCTGTCACCAAGCTGACCCAGAAGCCTAAAATGTTATCTGGCCTTTTATGGAAAGAGCTTGACAATTCCTGCCCTACGAAGGAACCCAGGATCTAGGAGATTGGAAAACTCTAGAAATGTCAGGAAGAGCTTCATGGTAGTGCACATTTGTAATGCCAGCACTCAGGGAGTGAAGGCAGGAGGTTGGAGAGCTTGAGGACAGCTTGGGCTAGTCTATCTTTAAAAAAAGTAAAACAAAACCCTTATGCTTTCCCGGAACGTATTAAAATACACAAGAGAGAAACAGAAGTGTTTCCTATCATATTTTAAAATGCTGTGCCAGTCTTTAAGTGAGAGAGAATTTCACATCAGCTGGCTCTTACCCTTCATCTCCTGAGGTGAGCTCTTTCTGCCCAAGGGTTCCTGGTCCCCATGTTCGGCCCTTCTTCTTTGGGACCCTCTTCTCCTCCTCCTCCCCTTCCTCTTTTGGGACAACTGAGCTCCGGCCCCAGGTTTTACTACTTTCACCTGGTGTCACTGCAAATAACAAAGACTGAGTAAGATAAGTCTCTCCAAAGCTGGCAGACAGACCCCTCCACAACACACTTATCTTTAAGCAAAAATTATAGTAAAAATAACACCAGTCTGGGCTTGGCACATGCTAAAGCTTTGATAAGTTTCCATGTGACGTAGGCTTTGGAAAGCCTCAGCTTGGGAAGTACAGGCAGAAGAAAAGCAGTGACACCCAACAGGGCAGACAGTTTGGAGGCCCTTAAGGTGGGCACCAATCTATTGACATCATTCCAGTCCAAACTGCTTTGTAATTCACTAAAGAGCTTCCTCTGCCCACAAGCCCTTGTGCTGATATCTGACTGTTGAAGACGGAACAGATAGCACTGAAGTGAACAAGGGACAAGGAGCAGGAAGGCTGAGGACCTGCAAATGTACATGCAGGTATGTACACACTGTTGAGGAAGGTGGCAGAAGTTATGGCTGGAACAAGCCTGAATTAGTCAGTGGCTGAGTGGAGAGGGGCTCAAGTGTCCCTGGTGTGTTCTGAAAACCTGTCTTACACTGGATGGCTCGAAGGCGGGGGATGATGGTGGGGCTTGCAGGAGGGCTCGATCGGCTGCCGAGGAGACTCTTCCTTTTATCCATGGTGGGAGAGGCCTGCACCGTGAACTTGTGCTGGAAATCTGCTTAGGGAGAGACAAGAGTGTGTGTTAGGACTGTCACACAGTCAAATGCATGCAAGAAATCTGACATCTCCTGGCAGGTCTGAGGGATAGGCCTCAGTTTCCTGAAAAGCTTTGTTTATCCAGGAAAGGTTTTCTTTCAGAGCCATCTTTTCCCCCAAAGGAACACATGACAAGATGAACACACATCTTTAATGAAGATGGCCGTGTAATAGATATAGGTGGAGTTGCTTCTCAGTGTGTGTCGCTTTGTGGATTGTTCTAGAAAATGTTACTTGAAATTATCCTCCAGGGGTCGGTACCAGGCTGGTGAAACCCACAGAATCAGTTGGCCTGAACAAGGGGGAGCACATGGACCCCAGACTACTGTCTGGGAGGCCAGCACAGGGCTGAATCATACCCCTGAACATGGATGTCAATGAGGAGGCCTCTGCACTCTAGGGGGCCCCTGGTAGTGGATTAGTATGTTTCCCTGGCATAAGAAGGGACGTTGAGAGCCCATCCCACGTGAAGGGATGCACTCTTGGCCTGGACATATGGGGTGGGGGGCTAGGCCGGGCCCAGGATGATGCAGTGGACTTTGGGGAGCCCCGTCGAGGGCCCTATCCTGCCTGGAGAGTGGAGGGTGGATGGAGTGGGGGACAGGTGGGGCTTTGGGGGGGAGGGTTGAGGGGAGAGGAGGGAGAAGGGATTGACATGTGAAGCAAGCTTGTTCCGAATTTGAACTAATAAAAAAATTAAAAACAAAAAAGAAAAAAAGAGAAATTATCCTTCAGATGATCTGTCACCATCTGTGTCCTTTTTGATGCTGCTCCCAAAGTGCAGGCAGAGCGCAGGTATTAAGACCCAGCCCATGGTGTGACTGGAGAGATGGCTCAGTGGTTAAGACCCAGCCCATGGTGGGAATGCCGGGATTAACAGAAATGAGGAAATGACCCCACACCTCAAAGGTAGTTTTGACACAGCATGAAAACACAAAACTTTCAGCTCTTAAGATTTAGGTTTTGGCCTCCTCATCTAACACAGAGGCACTGGGGTCTCCCCACTAGACTAAACTCTCCCTGTAGATTGGAACAACAGCTTCACATCTGCATTGCTGGTGGATAGCAGCATCCGAGCACAGCCCAGAGGCTCCAGAGGTAACTAAATACTTAAAAACAACTACAACAACAACAAAAACAAATCATTCGTGACAAGGACAGCAGTGACTTAATTCCCTGGTCTGTGCTTAAGCCACCATCCCAAAGCCTAAATATCATCCATAGCCCCTCCGACTGTGTTATTTTTCTTTGCTACAGGGTTTCTCTGTATAGCTTTGGATCCTATCCTGGAACTCGCTCTGTAGACCAGGCTGGCCTCGAACTCACAGAGATCCACTTGTCCCTGCCTCCTGAGTGCTGGGATTAAAGGAGTGCGCCACCACTACCCGGCTGCTTCCTTACACTTCTAATAAACTTGCTATCCAAAGCCTTATAGACTGAGAACATCAAGAATGTTTTTAATCTATAGAAAGACTCACCTGCCCCCTTGGGTGCACTACACTCCATCAAGATTCTGATTCACAGTTTCCTATTTCTTTGCATGTTTCCCCAGGTAACAAGTGCCAAGACTGTACCTTTATGGAGCCAATGTAGTTCTGAGAAGCTATATATAAATGTCATAATATGAACTTTTACACTTTAGCCTAATGTTAAATTCGCCAAGGGCTTATTATTTAAAGGAACTTGGGATGAAAGACTTTGCAGTGCTAAGATTTCTCCCATGTGAACATCCCGGAATCCCCTCACCCTGAGGATCCCAATCCTTCCCCAGTCTTTGCCTACAGTGAGGTGTGCTTTTGTGGGCCTAGTGGGCTTGTCATCACTGTCTCCTCTGCTGTCATTCACAATGAATAGTTCCCCAGAAAGCCTGTAATCCACTGCCCAAGATGGCCCCTTCCAACAGGCTTCACTTCCAGAGTCATGGTCTGTACTTCCAAGCACAGCCTAACTCCCACAAACCCCTGCCACACTAAGCCCCACCCCACCCCACCCCCTGGCTCTCTTTCTGCCACCGACCGGAGGGGAGGCTGATGCGGTTGCCATCCTTGAGCTTCAGCCGGCTCTTCCTGAACTTGCCCTTGCGTTTCTTCACCCTGGGCTTCTCCTGGCACAGCTGGTGGATGATGATATTGAGCTCTCGTTCTAGGATGTCGATCTCCCGCTCCGCCAGTTCCTGCTCCCTACGGCGCAGCAGCTCCTCCTGGTTCTTCTGCTGGAGAGCAGCCCGAGTCAGCTCCTCCTCCCAGGTGCGGAGCTCCTGTTGACAAGGGGGTCCAGCAGAGAGAAGAGCGGGGTTTCAGTTCAGAAAGCATCTGGGATGAGGCAACCTAGAGAGCTCTCCCATAGTACCCAGGAGAGAGAAGATACTCAGGAGTTGGCTGCTAAGTGGACACATGCAAGCCCTGGGTAAGGAAAGTGCAACACAGCCATATTGTGAATAAAGCTACAGGCTAATGCTCAGAGCAAGCTCGGAGATGAGGGCTGACCCTTCCTCGATCAGTAGTGCCTCCTTATCCGTGGGGAGTGTGTCCAAGATCACAGGGAATGTTGGAAACCACGACTCTTCTCAACTCTGTAGGTACTGTGTCTTCCTCTAAAATACCTCCATTGTAAAATTTAACCTATAAATTGGGCATTGTAAGAGATTAACACTAATAATAGAATATAATGATAATAATTTATTACACTAAAATCACTAGCATTACTACTCTTGTCCTTTGGAACCATTATTAAATAAAATCAGGGTTGCCTGAACTCAGAATTGCCGGATCACAATAGCCAACAAGAAACCCAAGATCAATATATACTATCGAGCTTGGGTAGTGTGCACAGTATCAGGAGGATGACCGTTCCTAGGAAGGGCAGAGCAAGACTGATCATGATGCTTAGAATAGCATGCAGTCTAAACCACGAAACTGAGCCAGGCATTGGTGGCGCACCCCTTTAGTCCCAGCACTCGGGAGTCAGAGGCAGGTGGATCTCTGTGAGTTCGAGGCCAGCCTGGTCTACAGAGTGAGTGCCAGGACAGGCTCCAAAGCAATACAGAGAAACCCTGTCTCAAAAACCCAAACAAACAAACAAACATGAAACTGTTTACTTATGGAATGCTCCATTTAATATTTGTGGACAAGGGTTGACGGTGGTTAAATCAAGCCACAGAAAGCAAAACCACGGATGGAGGGTGGGGTGGATTACCCGTAACTACTTATTGACAAGATCCAATTTTCATTTCTCCTATGGGCTTGTGTAATTTATAAATTATATTATGATTTTATCAGTCCAAAGCAAATAGAGGTGGCCATGAGTTGGTGATTTAGCAATCTTAACAAAAGCCAGCCCCTGTGGAGGTTCTCCTAGCTGGGACGAGTAGTAGTGATAGGAGCTCCATCCGTGGCTCACCCAGAGGGACCCCTGAAGATTGCCATGAGCTCCCTCCAGCCACTAGTGCACATTGGTGGCCTGCCACGCTATACCACACTTCGGATCACTGTGCTGTGAAGGAGACTAGTATCTGTGAGTCAGATCCAGATATTATTTTTAAATCATTTGTGTAGGGGGGATAACAAAACACAGGGCTAGAGTCAGATGGCCCAGATGGTTCAAGGACCTAGTTCCTCACTTACTAATTCCACAAAGGTGGAAGCCCCTAGCCCACAGCTGTGAGATGGAACAATTACATCTGCCCCCCACCACCACATCCTATTATACCAGCAGGACACACAGGTCTCATGAGACTTTTCAAGTGAAAACAAAGTGAGAAACAAAATTAGATTCTATTATTATCACATTGCTATTTATTTATTCATTTAACCCCCTGAGACAGGGTTTTACACTGTAGCCCAGGCTAGCCTTGAAGCCACTTTATAGACCTGGCTGGTCCAGAACTTACAATATCCTCCAGTTTGGTCTCAAACTTACAACCTTCCCTCCTCAGCCCCTTGAGCACAGAGATTACAGGCAAGTGCCAACATGCCTGGCTATCACATTACTATTAACTCCCCTAAATTTCCACAGTACAGTGAGAAGAAAAAAAAGGAAATTAACTGAGACTATATAACTACCTCTCAGGCCTCTGGATTTAGCCCTGCCCAGACAGCACAGGGCATATAATTGCACACAATCAGTGTCACCTGTGTGGACACTGACTGCTAGGGTCATACCACAGACAAGGAAAGGGGCTACTGGAAGAATGACCACCAAACCCAAAAGCAGATTCCAGTAAGCCAAGAGGTGCCAAAGTCCCCCAGATGATTTCTGCTTAGAACCTTGTCCATAAAAACATAAAGGTGCCAGTTTCAGGCTCCTCTCCTGTTTCTGACCAACTCTGAAAGACAACAGCAAGCTGTTCTGCTAGCAGCTCACAGTGCTAACATACCCCTCTATGAAATGGTCCTCCCTCTAGAAGTCCCCTCTAGAACCTGGACATTCTTCAAGAAGTGTCCAGTTTGAGGCAACAGCAGAAAACCCTTGCTGGCAGCTGCCCACAGCCGCTCCTCTGCTGGGGACAATCAAGCAGACCCCAAGGAGGAAGGTATTGGTGTCAGTGGTTGAACCCCTGTGAAACATTTCCAATAAGACAAAGCATGCCTTTTCTTCTCCTTTACCTTTTCTTTGGCCCTGAGTTGGTCAAACATTTCCTGAATCTCATGTTTCCAGTCATCCTGCAGACAGTGGAAGGAGTCCTTGGGCATCTCAAAGAAACCAGACTCTTCTATGGTCGTGAGCTGGTCCAGGATACTCGTAAAAGATGGACGTGAGTGGGGGTCGGGATTCCAGCAGTCTGAATGGAAGAGGGGAGACTGGAAGTCAAACCGCACTGTCCTGTACGCTCTGCTGAGTATATGCAAGGAAAGCAAGAACAAAGCTTCTGGTGCCTGACCCTGCTGCCAGCTTACCACTTACAAGTACACCAGCAGTGACTGCCCCAAGTCCCCCCAACGCACAAGCCACCATCCCCGGGAAAAGCATCAAGGTGAGTCAGGAAGAGTAAATTCTACAGTTGCTGCCTGGCCATCAACACAGTAGGCCCTTTCCACCAACACAGTAGGCCCTTTCCCTCTTCACGTTGCCTGGCTTTGCATTTCTCACAAAACTATGTTTCCGACTCAGTGACCTTAGGGTCCCTTTCTTCCCAGGTGACCTTCAGTTCTACACAGGAAATACTCAGGTCTGGGAATAAGTGCCACTGTAGCTTGTTTTTGTATTACATAATGAGACACTGGAATGCAAGATAGCAGGTTTTAGTTACTAATTTCTATAGTCACTGCAGAAAGGAACCTGCTTTGGTAGGGTGTGGTCACTGTCTAGAAACAGCTCTCCCAACTCTTCCCCCTGAGTGGCTAATATTTCATCTCCTCTTTCTGCAGTAGAACTCATGACATTAGGAAATGTCACTTGAGTGCTGTGCAAAGGCACACAGCCACCAGGTTTTCTCAGGACAGGAGTTACTCACCTTCCATGAGTTTGGCAAAAGGTTCTGGACATGTAGAAGGAATAGGAAGGGCGAGTTTGTTCATGGCCACTCCATATGCCACTGCTAAGCCATCGATGCCTCGGAAGGGTACCTCGCCAGTCAGCAGCTCCCACAGCAGCACTCCATAGCTGGGGAGAGGACGAAGACAGAAACTACGTAAGAAATAACAGCTACTACCTCACCAAAATAGCTACCAAGGTTTTTCCAGGTACCCCACATCATCTTCAACCCACAGGAAAACTAATGAAATAGACACACTAACATAAAGGGAAGTCACAAAGCCTACTATGCCCTAAAAGAGATTCTCCCAAACAGAATCTTTCTGTTTTTAGATAACTTTGTCATAAATACATTTTTTTTTTAGCTTTAGAAAACCAATGAAGCATCTACTTAACATGGATTTTTGCTCCTGCCAAAGATTTCATTAAATGTCCACTAGGTTAATACACATTTCTGACTTCTCATTGGTACAAGTAGGATGTTCAGAGGCCTCTGTTTAGCTCTGTGGGTAAAGTTCCATGGGATAGACTGGGTCATCAAGGCAGAGCAGCATACTTGCTGTGTGAACTACAGTGTCTCCCAACCTAACAAGTTCACTGAAACAATTCTTTTCTTTTTCTTTAATTAATTATTATGTATACAGTGCTCTGTCTGCACATGTCCTTGCAGGCCAGAAGAGGGCACAAAATCTCATTACAGGTGGTTGTGAGCCACCATGTGGTTGCTGGGAATTGAGCTCAGGACCTCCAGAAGACCAGTCTATGCTCTTAACCACTGAGCCATCTCTCCAGCCCCACAGAAACAATTCTTTATCACCTATTTGCCAGGGAATGTGGAGCATAAAGCATAATGGAAGAATTAGTCTATAGATCCACAATCAAAACCAGGCAAAACCACTCAGCATTCAGCCCTTCCAAAAATAAGTTAGGACAAGAAAGCATAAGGCTATGAACACTCGGAAGGAATGTTCTACTTGTACTTGCCACACCAACCTCAGATTTATTGCAATCCTCTTCAGTAGTGTATAGAAAGGTCAGATTAATTAAATGATGATGATAATGATGGATCTAGAGGGATTTCTTAGTGGTTAAGAGCACTTGTTGCTCTAGCATAGGACCCCGATTCAGTTCCAGCACCCATAAAGTGGCTAATAACCATCTGTAACTCCAGTTCCAGGGGATCCGACTCCCCCTTCTCACCTTCATGGGCACCAGGCATGCACATAGTACACACATACACATACATCCAAACAAAACATGCACACATATAAAATAAATAAATCTATTTAAAAGTTTTTGTAACGGCAAAATGATGACGATGATAATTAGCAACCCAGTACGTATTTATCAGGATCCCCTGTTTGTTTAAAGGGCTTTGCTATGTAACACCAGCTGCTTCAATCCTCCTATCCTGTACCAGTCTGCTGAGTGCCAGGATTAGAGATGTGTGCCAGCACACTAGACTCTTGTTTTCCTTCATATTTTCATGCAATGCTGGAGACTGAACCTAGGATTTTGTACTTGCTAGGCAAGTGCTCTGATACTGTGCCAAACCTATAATACTTTGTTTGCTTCTTGCTTATTTATTTTCCAAGACAAGGTTTCTCTGTGTAGCCCTGGATTTTCCTGGAACTTGCTCTGTTGACCAGGCTGGCCTCGAACTCAGAAATCCACCTGCCTCTGCCTCCCCGAGTGCTAGTATTAAAGGCGGGCACCACCATGCCTAGTACCTTTCATGATATTTTGATGTGCAGGGAGTATGGCATTTTACAACATCATTCTGAATCCCTGCAAGGATGTGGGCAAGTATGAGCACAACTTGTCAAGTGAAGAAAGTGAAGTCTTAGATGGGTTTATATATATATTGTGTGTGTGTGTGTGTGTGTGTGTGTGTGTGTGTGTGTGTGTGTGTGTGGTGTGCTTCCAATATATTCAACATTAAATGGACTCAGTAGGCTGTGTGTGAATAAAATAGTAATTTTAAAAGGACATAAATTTGAGAGTGTGTAGGAGGGACACAGGAGGAGCTGAAGGGGAGAGGATAGGGCGAAAATGATGTAGCTATGGTCTTCATGTATGAAATTCTCAAAGGACATACGAGTCGTTAGGCAGGTGTGGGAATGAGTGCATGCAAGGTGGATGTGCTCCCATAATCCCTGAACCAGCAAGAGCTACACTATTAGGGGTGAGGATGTGGTTCAGTGGGAAAGCATTTGTCTAGCATATACAAACCACGGCTTCCACCCCCAGCAGGGAGAGAGCAAATGAAAGAGGAACGGGGCAGAGTGGGAGATAAAGAAAAAATATACTTCTGCCAAACCTCGACTGTGACTTAACTAGGCAGCAGTCACACTTGGAAGCTTTTGTCACACAACCTCAAAGTGCCCTCGGCACCCCTATCTAGGATTCCTAGGTTAGAGCTATTGCCATCCTCAGTTTAAATGCCCAATTCTACACTAGTAAACAAAAACCAATGGTCCCATAGACCTCCCTGTCCTCCATCCAGGCAAAGACGATTAGTGTCTGAGCCATAAATGCAGAGGGTTTCAAAGATTTAAGTGTGCCTGGTTTGTGTCCCGGCATCCCTTCTCCGGTGGTGTCCCACTAGGCCTACCTAGGTAGCCTATGAAGAAGTCTCAGGCCACCTGTAAGAGAGAGGAGTCAGGGCTCTACCCTCCTCAGCATCAGTGAGGGAAGCCCTACCCTCCTAGGCTGTTGGTTGTCTGTGATCTGCTCTACCTAGGGGCTTAAGAGTTGAAGAGAAAGGGGATGGGCACTGAGACCTGTGCATGGCATGCAGCAAAAATTCAAAACATGGCACTTGCAGGAGTAAAGGAATCACAAATCAGTTTAGAACTAGCTTTCTACGAGTTCCTAGGCATGTATGTGTCTACCCTTGCTGGGACCCTTGCTGAATGTGTCTACCCTCGCTGAATCTGAGCCACAGTGGGCCCATCATCCTGGAAGAGGCTGCTCAAAGCACAGGAAAAGAGTATACAGTTGGTGGTGTGTTTCTAGTATATTAGTACTGATGTACGGTGGTGTGTTTTCCAATACGTAAGTGCTGCTGTATGGTGGTGTATTTCCAGTACATAAGCGCCACTATACAGTGGTGTGTTTCCACTGCTGTATGGTTGTGTGCTTCCAGTATAAGTGCTGCTGCATGAACAGCGATGAACAGGTATTTCCTCTGGTAAGCATGAGCAATCTGTTAGAGCCATTCAGAGTATGCTTGAGTGGAGAGGGGTAAAGGCCACATAAAGGAGTCAGTAAACCGTGCCTTCAAGAAAACCCCATAGCGTAGGAGCTAAGAATGCTGGAAAGCAGGCATACTATATTTTTGAGCTGCTGTCGACCACCAGACATAACAAGGGCTTACATCCTAGGAGAAATTTCACTATTTTAAGAACATTTTACTTACTTTTTAAATTATGGGGGAAGGGTATGTGCATTTGTGTGTGCAGGTGCCTCCGGGGTCCAGGAGAGCAATGGATCCCCTCCAGCTGGAGTTACCGGCAGCTGTAAGTTGCCCAACATAGATGCTGCCAACTAAAGTTGGATCCTCTGCAAGAGCGGTGTGCACTCTTTCTTTGTTAGTTTTTCAAGACGGGGTTTCTCTGAGCAGCCTTGGCCATCCTAGAACTATCTCTGTAGACCAGGTTGGCTTCAAATTCACAGAGAGGCGTCTGCCTCTGCCTTCTAAATGCTGGAACGAAAGGCATGGGCCACCACCACCTGTTACAGTATGCACTCTTACCCACTGAACCATTTCTTCAGGCTCCCTGAGTACAATCTAAGGTAGAGTTACTGGTTGTGCTGGCTAGATTTATATCAATTTGACACAAGCTAGAATTATCTGAAGGGAAGAAACCTTAACTGAGAAAATGCCTCCATAAGATCAGGTTGTGGGTAAGCCTATAGGGCATTTCTTAATTAGTGACTGATAGGGGAGGACCCAGCCCATTGTGGGTGGTGCCACTCCTGGCTGGGTGGTCCTGGGTTCTATAAGAAAGCATTCTGAGCAAGCCATGAAGAGCAAGCCAGTAAACAGCACTCTTCCATGGCCCCTGCCCCAGCTCCTGCCTCCAGGTTCCTGCCCTGTTTGAGTTCTTATCCTGGCTTCCTTCCACGATGAACAGTGATGAGAAAGCAAAAGCTGAATAAACCCTTTCCTCTCCAAGTTGCCTTTTGTTTCAACACAGCAATAGAAACCCCAACCAAGATACTGGTAGACCATGTGACAATACTCAAGATATTTTCCCTGAAGATATTTTCCACTGATCTGAAGTTCACTGCTAAGCTGTTCCCATTAGGGAATGAACAATTTCATCGGATGCCTCTCACTACAGCCCCTGCCACTAGCTTTCAACAGCAGTGATTTTAGGAACAAGACTCAATCTTAGACTTGTAACAGGGTATCTGGATAAAAGTTGAAAGGGTCTGGTCCTTTGCCCCATGGAAGGCAAGCCCCTGCGGTAGCTCTGTCCTTTCCTGGCTGCCTCTTCTGTCACTATAAGACCCTAATTAGATGTTCACACTCCTTTCCCACTAAGAACAAGAATGGCAAGGAACCTGGTGAGAGTCTGTCCATGTCCTAGCAGCAGCAGAAGCAACCGAGTAAAGAACAAAACCTGAGAGAAGTGAGACAGGACAGTAAGCTCATTACCCTGTAAAGAGAAGTGAGGGAAAAGAGAGCACGCCCAGAGGCTGTGACTAAGGGCTCCCTGTTCCCAAGAGAGCTTCAGCTGGACACACAGTAGCTAAAGCTGCATTTGGTCTCTTCAGAGCCAAGTGAATGAACCAGTGCAGGCAATGGGACGGAGGGACTGTGTACACCACACAGACTGTCTCCACATCAAAGGCAAGTTTCTGGCTATGGATAAGCTTGGCTTCCTTTCCTGCAGCCTATGGCACAGAAGGAACTGCAGCTCAGATTAAACCACTGGGACAGGAACAGGAAGGGAACCTAGAGAACCCGGGTCTCACAGGGCACAGCTGTCCTGCCAGTCTGGCCTGCATGGACTACTCCTTGAAGCAGAAATATAGTTGTCTTATGTAAGCTTCCATATCAATGGGTCTCCTTGTAATGCTGGGTTAATTAATTTATCAACGAGGCCTAATTAGTATCAGTCTCACCAGTGTGCGTCGAGACACTGCAAATGTTAAGCCACAATGGGACTGCTGTTTTTAGAGATCTATAGCAGTTGACTATCATCATCAGGTCAAACATTTTACAGGGAGGAAATCATACGCCCAAGTAGGCACTTTACTCTGTAACTAACATACAGTGAGATGAAAAAGGACATACAGAGTACAAAATAACTCTGAAAGAAACTAAATGAATCAGAATGTCTCACATTTATGGATTGAAAAACAATTTTTCTATGATGCCCATAGTCCCCCAAATAATTCACAGATTAAATACAATTCCTCTGGAAATCACAGGTGTCAACCCGAGGTGATGGCACCTATAATCCCAGTACTTGAGGATACAAAAACAGAGGGACCAGGAATTCAAGAGCATCCTTCCCTGTATAACTAATTTGAAACCAGCCTGAGCTATACAAGACTAATCTTTAAAATAATAATAATAATAATAAAATCCCAGTTGCTTACTTTTCAAAATTAACAAAATTATGCTAAAATTTACAAAGAATTCAGAATGACCAAAACAATTTTGAAAAGGCAAAATTGGAGGACTCCTATATCCTAACTTCAAAACTTACTACAAAGCTGCATATTAACCAAGAAAGGGTGGTGCTGGCTTATGTGCAGACACTGACACATTAACTGAGAACTGCAAACCCAGGAACAAACTCTCACATTTCTCATGAGGTGTTTCTGGCAGAGATGGCAAGAGTGCTTCAACGGGAAGGGAATAATAGTATCTTCAATGTGTGGTCCCAGCACAAGTGAATAGATATGACAATATATAGTTTGACCTCTGTCTCACACCACATGAAAATCAAGTCGGACATGGATCAGAAACCCGAGGGTAAGAACCAAGATTATAAAATTCTTAGAAGAAAACAGAGCTAAGAATCTTCACAGCCTTGGCTGAGGTGATACTTTCTTAGGATGACAATGAAAGTCAGGAGATGATAGAAAATTAACAAACACTTGGGTTTCAAAGTGTACTACCGAGGATTATCCAAAAAGAAAACACAGAGTGGAAAATCTTTTTAATTCATGTGTTAAAATACATGCAATAATAAAATATTTTAAAACTCAAAAGTAACAAAAGACAAGCCAGTTTAGAACAGACACATCTCCTGAGAAGACACACATTGCTCAACGAACACAAGAAAGACTCAACTTCAACAGTCATTCGGGAAATGCAAATTAAAACTACAGTGAAGGGCCAGGCAGTGGTGGCACATGCCTAGCCTATGATCCCAACACTTGGGAGGCAAAGACAGGTGGATCTCTGTGAGTTCAAGGCCAGCCTGGTCTACAGAGTAAGTTCCAGGACAGGTAGAGCCACACAGAGAAACCAGTCTCGAAAAAAGCTAACAAAAACCCCAGTGAAATATTGCTTTACAAACTAGATGGCTGCAACCAAAACAGCAGCACCAAGTGGTAGATGGAAGTAGAGAAGTTAGTGGAATGGACCAATTGAATATAATTGAGCATCTGTGGCCAAAACAGTTTGTTAGGCCCTCAAAAATATACTTACTTGTATGAAGGCTCAAGTGAACAGAATATATATAGTCACAAAAGAATTTGTATATCAATATCCACAGCAGTCTTATTCATAACACCCCAAAGAGAAAAATCACTCTCTATCACGTATTGAATGAACGGATGAACAAACATGGCCTGCCTATATCATGGAATATTACTAAAAATCCATAAAAGGAATGCATCTCTAGTGAAGCTACAGCATGGACGGACTTGTAAACATGATGATAGATGTAAGGAGTGAGTGACAGAGGATCACATATTGCGTTGATTCCATTGATGTGAAATGGCAATGGGAGGCTAATTCAGAGACAGCAAACGGGTCAGACTGAGAGGAAGTATGACAAGCAGGAGGCAGGATGTCTCTCTGAGGTTTAGAAAAGTCTCGTGGAAACAGTGATTACAGTGGGTTGAAGGGTGGCCCTAACAATATCTGCTGAGGTTCTAGAACTTACAATCCATAAGTGGACTGGGGTCTCCTCTAGGGTCTTCAGGGTGGGGCCCTGTTGTATCTGTTTTATACTTCTGGCCTCCAAAGCTATAAAAGAGCAAATCCCTGTTGCTTTACATCATCTGATATGTGGAAACACACTACTGTAGAGTAGGAAGCAGGTAACAGCGGTGAGTGACATCAATTTACTCATTGCTTAAGCTTGCTTAGGGTTTGTGGGGTTTTTGCTTTTATGAGACAGGGTCTTGCCTATCCCAGGCTGGTCTTGACTAGCTGGACCTCTGATCCTCCTGCCTCTACCTCTAGAGGTACTAGGATTACATACCCACATCACCAAACATAGTTCTCTGGTGCTGAAGACGGAATCCAGGGTCCAGTGCACGCTGGTACTGTGCACACTGCTCTATCTACTGAGCTGCATCCCAGTCCTGAAATCAGTTTTATAAATGCTAAAAAGTACTGACCTACATATTTTAAAGGGTGTGCTTTATGATATACGAATAATGTCTCAAGGGAGTTACTTTAAAGGAAATACACATATACAGAAACATACACACATGTACATGAGCTCACTCTGCCACATGACAGGAAGCCCTGACCCTAGACTGATCACCCACAGTCTTTTGTTGTATAGGTAAAGGTGTCACTACTGTCCTTCAGATAGGACAAAGTCTACCCTATGGTGGCTCATCCTCCCTTAATGGCAACATGATTTTTTTTTTTTTTAGATCTATGTCCTTGTGGCTTGTTGGATTGACACTTGCTAGTAGAGATGGCTGGCCATGTCTAGTCTATAACTCCACAGCTTTTAGGGCCTGCTAGGGAGCCACCTATTCTCATTTCTAGAAAAATGCCCAAGACAGAGAGCCTTGAGTAAAAGAATAACTAGATAATTGGAAAGGATCATTTCTAAGTTATCAAGAAAAAGATAGCAGAAAGAGTATCCATTGGCTCAGAAGCTTATAGGGAGGAGACCGGGTTAAGTCTACCCTGAGTTCAGTAGCAGCTGCTGAAGCCCAGCCATGCAGCTGAGCCAAGTACTGCTTGGGATAGGGTGACTTCCTACCCTAGAGCTCAAAGGAGGTACATGCTGCCCCTGGAATCTGCTGACATTTCCTGAGGTGCTACCTACCACATGAAGTGCCTGCAGGGGTGAAGTAATTGCCACAACATCCCTTAGCAACACAGAAATCAGTACAGATCACTCCGAGAGGTCACACACACAACTTGGGGTGCCTTGGACTGATACTACCCCAATCCCAAGTCCTGAAATGTGGAGGCCAAACAGACCTGGGAGCTCGGAGGCTGCACCTCGGGATCTTACCTCCACACATCACTGCCTTTGGAAAACATGGAAGCACGGATGACTTCCGGTGCCATCCAAGCATATGTTCCTGCCGCACTCATCTTGGTGGTCCGGTGCCATTCCCGAGCCAGCCCAAAGTCAGTGATCTTCAGGATCTTGTTACTCAGGTCTCCATTCTCCACTTTCTGCAGGATCAATACTGACAGAGAAAGCAACATGGGAGAAAACAAACAGATAAGCGTGAATCACAGGGTCTTTGCCATCCACCTGCCACCTCCTGCAGGCTCTGCTGTTCTCCCATCATGCACTGAGGACAGAAACACCACTTCACAACTACCCACAAAACGCTCACTCCACACCGTACATTTTTGTTGGTGTCATCTCAAGTCCCCACAATACCTTTCTTTACAAGGCAGGCACTCCCAGCTGAACATCCCTTATCCAAAAATATTTAGAGGTACTTCCAAATCTAAAAGGACCCCACATTATGAAACTCTTCCGATCCCACACATTTAAGATTAGGGGTATTTGGCTTGTATGGCCATCTTTGTGTCATAATTCAGGGCTGGATCCCAGGCAGCCTGGCTTGAGAGCCTGCTCCCCTACTGTAGAGTGACAGACGAGCTGTGAGTCATACAGACCCCTCTGAGGAGCAGTCACCTAGGATCCCTGCATCAAAGCACACCTGGGTTATATCCATTCATGGTCACAGGGACTGGAGATGCATGCTGGATTTTCAAATTTTCAGATACAGTGTCTACACAGCACCTGTGACCCCCTTATAAGCATACCCCACACTTTCAGACACAGTGACACTAACATCATCTACAAAGTCCATGTTCAAGAACCATACAACTGGTTTACCAAAATATAAATTACAAAAAAGCCCATTCCCTTCCCTCTGATTTTCTGTGTTTTAAGTAAGTTTACCATTTTGTGTTGGACCTCATTCATAGCTACCTTAGACAATGAGGCCCATATGCTGTGGGTTGGATACCCCTGACACTTTTAAGAAAGTCTGCCTATTGGGCCTTGGAGATTTTGTCATAATCCAGGCAAGTCCCCCACAACCAAGTAAGAAATGGCTAATGAGCTGGGGATAGTCAGAGGCACACGCATGCACACACTCATGATATCCTCAGTGAGCATGCTGAGGGAAGAAGAACTGGTGCAGGGATGACTCTGAAGCACCATAGTGTGAGAGGCAGCCTGGCTCTCCTAGGAAGAGAGTGGAAGTAGCCACCTCACCTATATGGTGGTCCCAGCCATAAATGTGACCTGGTAAGAGACAATCTAGCTTAACAATCACCACAAATGTAATTGACTAAGGTGCCATATTGTAAACTCTGCTGAGTGGGGGACTAGGGAACTGTTCGGATAAGTGCAAACCTCCTTGTCCCAAGTAGGATGACTCAAAAGCTTTGTGTGAGCATGGACTCTTTAGCTGGGCACAGCCTTGCCTGAATCAGTGTATGTGGAAGTTCAGAGCAAAAAAGAAGGCTACCTGAGGTTGAAACCTGCTGGACTCAGTGTAGCAAATGAATTTCAAAAGGGATTAGGCTAGGCTCAGTAAAACAGTAAAAAATGATACAAGTTAACTCTCAGCCCAGTACCAAGCTGACCCAGAGGGTTCCCATTACCCTCGATGTACCATAGGGCCTCTTAAGTAGGCTGTACCGAGATGTCTTACATTACAGACCCGGCTAGCAAAGACCCCTCCATACCTCAAAAACAGAGCCTAGGAGTACTTGGGTCAACTTTAAGGATGGGCAGGGGTTCTTCAAGACACAGTCACACCCCTCTTCTCCACCCCTACTCCCATCCACTGAGTTGTCATATGTGCAAGGGATGTGGGCCAGAGAGCTCCAGGTGCTACGTGCTTCTCAGAAAAGCAGCAGTGTGCGGGGATTACCAGTAGCTGCAGAGCTGAAGGCTGGAAAGAAAACAACCCCACCCTAGACCTAATGGACGAAGCCTCCCTCCTTCTCCACACCCTCCAGCCAGACACATCCCTCCCCACTCTGGCTTCCCCAGCCAGGAGCTTGAGCAGATACAAGAGAAGAAAAAGCCTTCCTCTACATATTTAGTGGCAAAAACAAAAAACAAACAAACAAACAAAAAACCTCCAAAAGACAAACAACAAAAACAAAAACACCTTCCAGAATCTTCAAAGGCAGAAACAACAGGATAGCAGACATTCAAATTAGCCAGGCAAGTGACACTAAGGAAATTCCCCATTCCCATTCAGGAGGCCACCAGCCATCAACTGTCCTCAGACCAGTTCATATACCAGGTATTCAGAGGGAGCTCCTCCCTGAAAATACATGGAGTGAGGTCCAGTCACCCAAAGCCCGAGGCGGCTGGGGTAGGGTACAACAGGGAGAGAGATGACATTTCATATTTGTCTGTCTGAGGGCTTAAATGAAAATTGAGACTGATGGGGCGAGAATCAGCCACAATTGTGTATCTACGTGGAGTAGTACAGCTAAGCTACAGGTCAGTTCCACCTACTTGCCACTGTGCCACCCACCTCATATTCAGCTGACCTCACACACTTGCCCTTTGTGGACTCCATGACCTAGGGTCCTACCCTCATCAGCAAAGAGGGACTATAATCTGAAACCAGTCTGCTAGCTCAGCAAGCAGCAGCAGGCCATCGTGTTCTGACGTACTAGTCCACCCAGCGCTGTACACTTCACTTGTTAGTTGAGATGAAATATGAAACATAAAATCAAGCATTGTACAGCCAACCATCCAGTAGAGTACAGCTCATTTACAGTGGCACACAACTGCCACCCCTATCTGCTCCAGGACATTGTCATCGCCCAAAGGAAGTCCTGTAACCACTAAGCAGATATTCCCCATCCGTCTCTCCTCCCAGGCACGAGATGCCACCAATCTGCTTTTGACTTACATACTGGGAATACTCATACAATACAATGATATATAGTATGAAATCTGCCTTATTTCACTTGATGTTTTCAAGGGTTGTCACATTATAGCTCAACACTACTACATTGTAGCAAGTTCCTGCTATACAGGTAAATAGACCGGCTGCTCATTTTAGATCATATGCTGTGTAACTAACATCACCTTTTGGAGTCCTTCAGTCGCCTCTAAGATGTAGGGGGATGACTCTCCCAGTTTCATCCAATCAAAACAGATGTGAAAAGATTAGGTCGGTTGTGTCCGGTTGATGAGGAGTAGGAACAGAAGCAGAATCCATCCTCTCATCTCATAGCCTTGTTTTCCACCTCTGTGCCATGTGATCCAGAGGCGAGAAAGAAATTCTGTCTCGAAGGCTTAACTCAATCCCTCAATGCTATGCCCAAATAATCCGTATTCTCTGCTATCCCGTAGCTGCTACTTCCTCAGCAGCCAAAGCCAATTGCACACAAGTCAATGGTTCACATGTCTAAATACTCCCTGCTGGAGCATGTGTATACCATCTTTTTCTTTAGAATGTCATGGAATCTGACTCCCAGAGGGTAAAAAAAAACCTCATTCTCTTCTATAATCCATGATATCCTGCTCCAGGAGCCACATACAGGGCCAGGCTCTTGGCAAGAATTCCCTCCTGCCTGGTCAGTTCCTGACTGAGGTGTACCTGTGCATTTCCTCTGACTATTGCTTCCCCAGGTTAATGTTGAAAAACACTGGGGGATGATTATACAGAGGGGAGCAGAGTCAGAGAAAGTAATGCCTCAGCCAGGGGTTCCCCAGTGACCAACATATCTTGATGCAATGTGGGGTATGGGCTACAGAAGAAGGGATCATTTCAAGATTCTGACTGCGGTGGCCTCACCAGTTACTTTGGCACCCTGTGGCCAACATACCTGAAAGAACCAACCTAACGGGGGGAGGGAGAAATTTACTCAGTTTCTCTGTTTCAGAGGACCTCAGTCCACCAGAGTGGAGAGGGCACAGTGCTCATTGCAGAGGACAGAGTGGCAGTAGGTCCTCATGTCATAGCCCAGAAACTGAACTACAACTTTTCAAATCCTGCCCTTAATGACCTACTTTCTGACAGCCAGGCCTCATGGCCCAGAGGCTCTACCGCTGGCTATTAGTTTAGTAACGGGCTTTATGGACTAGTTCCCCAGCTATATATATATATATATATATATATATATATATATATATATTTGTATATGCATGTATTGTGTGTGCACAACTCTTGCTATAGCAAGCTAGTGCAAGTTGAAGGTCTGTGGCAGGAATCAGGTCTCTCCTTCCATGTTGGTATGGGGGATCAAACTCAGGTCATCGGGCTTAGTGGCAAGCCCCTTCATGCTCTAAGTCAGTAATTTCCTTCTCTTTCCTCATCTAATTGTTTCACAGTCTTTGCTCTTCTTTTCTTTCTGAACTATGTTGCTCTGCCTCCTATCCCTTCGATTGTGTTTTTATTCCCCATTATGGTTTTCTAGGCTGTAAAAATTCTTTCTCATTTTCATATTTGTTTTCTGGGGAGAGAAGTACAAATGCTCCTGGTGACTGCTGCTTCTGTAGGATGGGTCTAATGTCTCCTTCCTGTCTTTGTTTTTTTTTTTTTTGTTTTTTTTTTTCTGCAGATTTTTTTATTTGAATTAGAAACAAGACTATTTTACATGACAATCCTAGTTCCTTCTCCCTCCCCTCCTCCCCTACCACCACCCCCTAACTAAAACCCTACCTATCACATATCCTTTCTGCTCCACCTGGATGGTGAGGGTATCATCAGAGTCTATCGTATCCTTTGGAACAGGGCCTGTGGCCCTACTCTGAGACATCCTTTCTGTCTTTTTGTTTGTTTTCTATGGCTGTAGCTTCTTGAAGGGCTTTTTCAGTCTGTGCTTTAGTCTCTAGAGTACTTCGCTGAGTCAGGCTCATCCTTGGCTCTCTGATATGACTCAGCACATAGCTGTGCTTGTGTTCAAAAGGGTGTACCTTAAGTTTTAAAGGTACACACCGAAATATTTACACGTGAATTGATAGGGTGTTGGTGATTTCCTTCAAAATAATAAAAGGCAGGAATGAGCCGGGTGACAGAAGGAAGACGAGCTATGAGTTGGTAACTGTTGAGGCTGAGTACAAGAGGAGCCACAAAACTATTCTCTTCATATGGGAACCTGTCTTCCATGGGGGGTGGGGGGAGGGTAGGAGGGAGGGAGGGAGGGAGGCAGACACATCACAGTGTCAATACCTCTTTTACCTGAAGGA